GCTTTGATCGCCATGACGATTCCAATTCCCTCCAGGTTTATGCAGCTAGTGCCAATATCGTCCTACCGTGACTCAAACCCATAACGTTACCAAAAAGGCTAAAAGTATGGAGGCGCATCTGTAGCACAAATTAGTTTACATGTTTTATTAAATATATTAAAGTTTATTGTATTATGTCTTACTTTTAGAACGCCACGATCCAACTATGAAGAGATCGCAACACAATGCGACAGAACAGCCGTTTTCCACGCGTTTGGTGCCTATCTGCTACGCGGTCACACCCTCTTCACATTGCTTTTCCTGTCAGCTTCGATCATGATTTTTACAATTACTGTAGCCTACCACTGCCGCATTCGCAGACAACATGACTTCATTCACAGCGGATTACGGTACGTCGTTTTACACAGTGACACGAAGACATTTAAACTCAAACCATTGTTCTGGTCGGTTAACAGCAAGGGTATAATCCAATAAGGGGGAGGGGGAGAAATGTGGTTATAACAAGTGCTGCCTAAACAATTTCAAGTTTTGCACGGGCAGGAAATCACGGGAGCGTGATCTCTCGCTAGCTCTGGGCTGTGACACCGCCCGGAGCTTCCTTCATCTGTAAAAACTGATATACTCCAGGTGGATAGGCGGCACGAACTGTGTCCGCACCTCTTATTGGTATAGACCCAATAACAAATTCGAATTGACGAGTAGCACAAGAGTCGTCTAACAATAAGTGCTTTCAAATCTAAAATGCTTGCAGAGATCAGTCTCCTCATCGACGTCGCGAAAAACTTTTCCACACGTTGATTTTCTCAATCGCGACGTTCTTCGTGTCGGTCTTGGGTCAGACCTACATAGAAATCGCTGTATTCTGGGTAGATGATCGAGAAGAAGTGGCTCATCTTTCGAAGTGGTGAGTGTTTCTACTTCTTTAGAAATTGTTCTAAAAGGAATTTAGGCCTGAAACGCAAGAACAATTGTTAAGAAAGGGTTGACTATAATGGAGAAGCGAACAAGGGCGAAACAGCGGCGCGGCCTACGAACTTTTTGGGTACCCGACAAGAGGCCCGTCGCGCGGCGAGAAGAGAGATGCAGAAGGGCGAGATGCAGCAAACGCGCACTGCTCAGTGTAGTATCTACTATGTGCATCTTTTCAACTTGAGCACATCGCTCAGTCGCGTTGCGCACTTGTCCGCTATCTCTTTGTTCTGCACTCTCAACGCTAACGACAGCCTCCTTTCGTCGTGCACAAACATTTCGGCTCTTCTTTGTCCTTTAAATCGACGCGAAGTTCATTCTCTTCTGCTCATTTTCTCGTTTAAGACTTAATTACGATAGGGAAAGCAACCATTGCCTAAATTGAAGTACAGAGGAGGGGAGTCGGACCCGAAAGAGGGGGGACAAAAAAAAAAAGTGGTACAAAAAAAAGCGAAACCACGAAAAACGGCCCAGAACCGGAGAAATGGGACCCCTTCCTTGTCCGTTGATTTGAGCATTGATGGGACTCTCATCGCTTTGCCCTCTTCAACCCTACGCTCTCTCAGCTATCTAATCACTCGCCACCTATTGTACTACGGCGAGTGATCAGACGATCGGTGGGCGGAGATCGCCGAACTCGCCAACTTTGAGCCATGCTAGATCTCAGAGGTCAAATCTTTCGATGCCGATTGCGTGTCTGTCCGCACCCTCAAGAGATTCACCGCTCTCCCCACTAGGCGATTTCTCCCTTCTTCGACCTTCGTTCTTTCCGTGCAATCCTCCTTTAAACATCGGCTCAAACATTGTGAGCTGTACCGCACGTACGTAGACGCATTCTCTATCCACCAAGAAACGTCTCTCCCACACGCATCCCTTATCAGGCATTACCATTAGACCAGATAACAATACCTCTGCTCTTTGGTTATTTAAAGCGTGCAGTCGTGCTTCGAGAAGAGCGTTACGGAATAACGCGAACCAAAGCCGCAACACTCTATTCATATCCCTCCACCAGAATCCAACCCTACGTTGCTACAATTTGCAACGGGGGGTCGTAACTTGGATGGACTTGGAAGGGGGGGGGGGTCGTAGGTAGCACGAAACATGTGATGAGAGTGAGAGCGCGCTGGAGAGAAATTTGCCGTTTCAGCGTGCTTGTTTGGAGAAAAAAAGTAGTTGCTGAATGAGGCGAGTCGTAGAACCTTCTCGTTGAAGAGGAGGTCGTCGGTCGTAAAAACTTTTGCAAAAAGTACCAACGATTAGACCGACCCTTGCCCTCTACGTTAGCACTTTAGAATTAGGTCCGGAATAAGAACTCAAACTGAATCAACAGGTGGAAATTTAGACGGCAGCAATTTTTAAGCATAATTTCAAGTGCAATTGTTGAGTGCACACATCGCACCCTCTTTTAGGTATACAATTCTTCTATTATTCCCAGTTTATTTTAGGCCCGTCGTTTCGACACCCATTACCGAGCCGTCGAATAATTTTTAACATATCAGCTTCTAGGGAATTTTAGCCGTTTCTTTGCAATCTTCTTTGCCACTGTGCCTTTGTGATTTATTTGAGTACTTCATCACATGAGTTTTTTGAAGAAGAAATAAATAAAATATGAATAAAAAATAAAAATTGAAAGGGTTTCAGGTACCATATTGCGCGTATAGCCGCATTTGTGGACCCAGTTCTGAATCCGCTGATCGTGGTCGCTCGAACTCCGGCTCTCAGGAGACAGGTTTGTCCACCGCCGTTAATCACTAGCGATTCTTTATAACAATGAATTTCTCCTGTTAAGCTTCGAGCTCAATGGACATCGCTGCGATCGCACGCCTCTTCACGAACAACAAAGTCTCGTCGAAGTGGCAGCGACAGACCTTCACTTCGCCGTAATAATTCGCAACGAAATCGATGTGACGTCGAAGTGAAGCTGATCAAGCCGGATCGACCGGTGAGGTCAATTCAAAATGGAACTAGTAAAGGACCGGCACTAATTAATCTATTCCAAAATTTTGAAAAAATTTCGTTGAAACTTTGCTCACGTGAGTTTTTCAATGCCCTGATGACAGATGTGGAATCCATTTTTGGCGCCGTCCTTGCACCAAATAGGCGTTGGCACCAAAAATAAGCGCCAGGATCGTCATCAGAGGGGCATCAGGGGCCGGGTGCAGCAAGCCCAACTGGGGAATGGGTCCCAAAACTCTGCATCTCTGGACGCTTCCCCTATTCTTGACCATGAGAGTTGCGTCATCGACCAGAGTAGACGCAGAGTTTTGGGGACCCATCCCCGAGTTGGGCCTTGCTGCACCCGGTCCCGGGGTACCGAGAACTTCTGCGGGCGAAAATTTAATGAATTCTTTCATGTTACTAGTAGGTTTGTAGCAAATCAATAGTGCTGAGCTTGACAGTTGTGTCTGGGCTGCGCCACGCGCTCGACACGTCTAGAGTTACTCGACGTCGCTGCGTCTCGTCAACTCACTGGCACAGCCCGGCTCCATTCGTAGCCTGCGGCACGCCACCAAGCTGCGCGGCAGTTCATTCCAGGCATACTCTCGGCCCTAACAGTCGTGCCACATCTGTCATTCGTCACCGGGAGAACTTCGACTTTGGACATCCCCACTCCTTCCCCCCCCCCCT